TGGTGTGGGGGGGGGGGGACCTTCAGCCTGGCCTGTGTTCTCTCACAGTCAGGAGCCCTCAGGGGATGTCCGACTGATGGCTTAGGCCCGCTCCCAGTGAGAAGCAGGCCTAAGCCATCAGTCGGACATCCTTAGCACTGCTGCAGAGGTGGGAGAGGCTCCTGCCTCCACTGCTGGTCTCACCAGCCATGAGCCCAGCTTCTGACTGAGTGGCTCTCCCGCTATGGGAGCACACTGACCACCAAGGGGAAGCTCCTACTTTGAGCATCTGTTCCCTGGTGGTCAGTGCGCATCATAGTGACAGGTCGTTTGCCATTTGGCCATTTTGCATATTAGCCTTTTATTATATACTAGAGGTCTGGTGCATGAAATTTGTGAATGGGGGGGGGGTGTTCCTCAGCCCAGCCTGTACCCTCTCCAATCCGGGACCCCTCAGGGAACATCCCTCTTGCAATCTGGGACTGCTGGCTCCTAACTGCTCTTCTGCTTGATCACCCCTAACCACCGCTGCCTGCTGGCCTGATCACCCCTAACTGCCTCTGCCTCAGCCCCTGACACCATGGCTTTGTCCAGAAGATGTCCAGTCTAATTAGCATATTACCCTTTTATTACTATAGAGGAATATTCACATCTTGCTGGACCTGGTTCCACAGGACGTTTCTTTACCAGATTCCTCCAGGATGGAGCTCTGGTTCCTCCTCCAGGAAGCCTTCCATGGAACCCTCCGCACAGACTGGTAGGGATAGACCTTCCCCCATTGCCCTGTGACTATCTGGTTGTATCTGACAGAACTCCTGGAGGGCAGGCCTGATAAGCAGTGATCCTCTGGTAATAATATGCTTAAAAATCCAAAATCAATCTATGAATCTCTTTCCTCCATGGGTTCTTTATAAGCTTGCAAAGGCCACATTTCAAATTCAGCTTTTCGGTTTATTCCAGGGGTCCTAAAGCTTTTTAAACAGGGGTCCAGTTCACTGTCCCTCAGACCGTTGGAGGGCCGGACTATAGTTTTTTTAAAAAAAACTATGAACAAGTTCCTATGCACATTGCACATATCTTATTTTGAAGTAAAAAAACAAAACGGGAACAAATACAATATTTGTATTTGCATGTGGCCCGTGGGCCGTAGTTTGAGGACCCTGGTTTATTCTCTGGTTAAAGTGTTAGTCTTTCTAGGGCAATTGGACAACTTGTGGACCATGGGTTTTTAAATAGCATGCATATAAATCAGAACCAACTGTAACCATTGAGAGAGCCTGTCTGTGCCTCTTCCACCCTGTACATCTAAGCATGGCACCTAGGTAAGTTACTTTGAATAGGTTGCTAACTTGTATGAACAAACATAATGATGACTATGTACATAGGAAGTATTTTGTAATATTCACAGTGCTTTCATATACAACAAAGGGAGGGTAGATGTAGTGTGGTGCATAGGAGTTTAAAGCAAATGGGCTTAGAGTGTGGGTACCTGGCTGCAAATATTAACTCAATTACAAACTTAGCTACTTTGGACAAGTCTCCTACAATAACCTCAATCTTCTCATCTGTAAAGTGGGTACAATAATACCCATCCTGCCTATCTTGTAGGCTTATTACAAGGTTTGCATGGGATGCTTCCTAACTCTTCCAACTTCAAGGAAAAGGATAAATTTCATTTAGGGCCCTGGAGTAAATGTGAAGTTTATGAGGCCGGAGGTGACCACTCTGGACTCTGGTTGCCTGCCTAACTATTCCAAGGGCTGAGGGAATGAATATCTTTACTTTATGGTATACCAACTCAGAAGCTCTGTAATATAAAAATATTTAAAACAATCCTTAGCTGTATATCTATACATGCTCATATTCACATACATTCTCCTGTCATATACTTATAACCTTCCAGTGGGGTGTGAGGAATCAGGTTCAGATGTGTAAAGTTCCGGAACTTAGTCCAATGGCCATCGAGTGGCAGGCCAGGAACAAGATCTCAATGTCATGTCATCTCAGATGTAATCTGTCTCAACCTTATGCTTTCAATCATACTTTATCATAAAAAATTAGTTATTTTGGAAAATATTACTTAACTAATTACCAAGGTGATAATTCAGAGAAGTAGAATATTTTGTTGCCGTTGACTTATAGCCAAATCATTCAAAGCTATAGGGAAGATAAATTTATATCAAAAGCTAGCAGTTTTATAATTGTCCCTGTATAGACAAGTTGTCCATGTCCATATCTACATCCAATTCTATATGTCTTCTATTCTGACAGTAAGAACTATTCAACCTTATTATGGACTTCCATATGTCAGTTGGGATCTATATCTAGGTTATACAGTCATCGGGAAGAACATAATCACTTAATGTATGTAAGGTACTTAAAATAATTCTGGGCAGACTCTAAGTTAGGCACACAATAAGTATTAATTATAATTATTCAAAACAAAGCTGTTCAGTCACTCATGGGGTCAAACACTAATGACTTTGCACTGAAAAATTCCTTCATAGCTAAAGAAATATCATTAGACCCTGGTACTCATATAATGGCAGCAGCAGCTGGGGGCTTTTAGAAATTCAGAGCCTCACATCTACTATGACAGAATCTGCATTTTAATGAGATCCCCAGATAAATTGTGAGCAGAGGCAAGTTTGAGAAGTGCTTGGAGGACTCCAAGGTGTATGCAGAAACCATTTGGTCACTTGTATTTTTGGCAGAAATGATACAAAAGTAGCACTAACTCAGAAAATTTGCTCCATTTTATTGATGTATTCAGACCTAATCTGGGCCACAGAATGTAGATTGTGGGGTGGGGGGTAGTGATCACGTGACCCTCCCCAGTAGAAGGCAGTGTCATCTGAATCAGAGAAAATGCTTTGTGTAAGGGACCATGAGCGTGCGTATTAGTGTGGGTATGTCATGGTCCTCATGGAACAAGTGTGCAATCCTGCAACTACTATGGCATATTTTAGGGGAAGTAACAAACACATTTTAATAAGAAGGTGACATTATTAGGAAATCTGCAATTGTAAATATATGGAAAAGAGGAAGTCACTTACATTTACCCAGGGATGCTCAAGGACCTGCATGGCTGAAAATCGCTGATCAACATTGACCAACAGCATCATGGTGATAAGCTCCTGTAAAAAGGAACATTCAATTCTATTTGTCTAACTTTTAAGGTCAAAGATAACAGCCATAAGTCTTTTTTCCCTTTATCCCACTGGGTGTTTTCAAATGCAGAAGTTCTATTTTATTTAGAAAAGCTCTAAATCTTAAATATATGGTGTCCCAAAAAATGTATACACACACTTTGAATAATTATAAAGTCAGTGTTAAAAAGGGGGCCCTGTGGCTTAGCTGTTCAAAGCGCCTGTCTAGTATAAAGTCAGTGTTTATTAAAATACATTTCATTTTCAAAATTAAGCTGTCAGCTGTTAAAGTGTGTATACATCTTTTTGGGACACACTGTACTAATATATCAACTCAACTTACCCACAGTTACTTAATATCGTTAGAAGTTAAAGGAAAGGTGAATATTTAGAATTATAAAAACATAGCTTATAGTGGATGGAAAAACTAAAGTGAAATCAATATTAAAATCAATTTAATGAAAGTATTTTTAGTAGAAAAAACAAATACACATATTAAAGAGTTAAAATTCATTTATTTTTCTAGGATTTTTCACTTTAAAAATAATTTTCTAAATTAATTTAATATAAAAATCAAATTTTAAAAACACTAACTAAATTTTCTTTTGGCAGCTGAATGTAAAAATGTGTTTTTTCCCTCAACTTCAGGATGGCATATTTAAGTATGAAAGAAAGTTATAAGAAAAGACATACGGAATTGCCAACAGCTAGTTGTTAAAACAAAAACTATATTTAGTAGACAAAGAATTCTAAGAAAAATTGTTTCAAAAGTTTCCAGATCAACACAAATAAAATAGAACCATTAAGCAGTAAATGATTTATTGGTTCTGAAATTAATAAAACTTTCCCTTAAGTTCAAATTTATCTGGACCAGAAAAGCACAGCTTGGGTTATAATGATGAGTCTGTCATACATTTGTCAACTTTGAAGTAGAAGTTCCCATGTAATAACATGGTTATATATATATTTCATTACTTACATTCATAGGCTCTGAGTATTATTCCATGATGGGGATAATTTATTATTATTTTTTAAAATCCTCACCCAAGGATATTTTTTCCATTGATTTTTTTTTTTTGAGAGAGAGAATGGAGGGGAGGGGGATGGAGGGAGAGAGAAAGAAACATTAATGTGAGAGAGACACATCAATTGGTTGCCTCCCCGTTGCACTGCAACCGGGCCTGCAACTAAGGTACATGTCCTTAACCACTGGTAATCAAATCTGAGACCTTTGGTCTTTGGGCCTATGCTCTAATCACTGAGCCAAACCGGGCAGGGTGGGGATAATTAATCTTGCCAAAGATCTACCTTCACTTCCTAACTGAGTCCAAGACTTATTAAAGCAACTATTATCTGTGATGCTCTTTGCCAAGTGCCATGGGGGTGTAAGAAATAGTCCTATCTGTCAGTGACTTCCAGCTCTTATGTTTATGGAGTCATGGCATGTTATGGAAAGAGTTGCAGAGGTTTTTAAAAAGCCTGTTCACAGGTGAAATCATCTCCATGCCCACCTCAGCAGATTTTTCCCACATCTTTTCACTTTTCCTCTGGCACCTTTCTCAATTCCCCTAATTTCTTTAGGTCTAGAGGTAGATTCTTACACAGTTGGATAATATGAGAAACTTGGGCCCAATATACATACTTTTTTCTATGGAAAGTGGCCAGGCCTAAGGAATAATATTTTAAATTGAATTCATACTCAGAACACAGCAAAAGAAAAGTTATATAGATTGAATAATCAAAAGATAATTACTTTTTAAGATCAATTTTTCAAAAATTTAAACCAGTGCCTAGAGATATAAGTTTAAGAGATCAACTAAAATATTTTGTTGTGTTTTTTTATCTTTTTTTCC